AAAAAAAAAAAAAAAAAAGGCACAACATAATTAAATTAGCAGCTCAGAATGATTACCAGGAAATGTTCATTTGTGGAACGAATAAGACTGATAAAATGTCGGCAACGCTGCGATGTAGTTTGCCATTTTCTGATTTTGGATTTACTTTGCGGTTGCTGGGGAGGTTTTACTTTGCGATTTACTTTGTGAATGCAGTAGTTCATGATATGTGGTAGTATCTAGGGTCAATGTCAGCTCTTATATAATCCGCGGCCAACACAAACTTTGACCTACCCGCCCGTACCTGGGCTTCAATTTATTTGGGCTTTTTAAATTAATATGTAATATAATATTTGTGTTGGAAAAACTTTTATCCAAACAAAACAACTAACCTAGCAACTAGACATAACTAACTTAGCAACGCCGGACAACTAAACTAGCACCCTGAAACAACTAACTTAGCAACCAAATACAACTAGACATAACTAACCTATCAACAAAAGACTACTAACTAACCAAGCAACTAGACATAACTAACCTAGCAACATCGAGCAACTAACCAAGCAAGTAGACACAAATAACCTGGCAACAAGGTATAACTAACCTAGCAACAACAAAAACCTATCCCTGCAACTAGCTAAAACTAACCTTGCAGCTCCAAACAATTAACATAGCATCCACACGCTCCTAACATAGCAGCATCAGACAACTAACCTTGCAACAATTTAAATATATATAACTTTGCAACTGAATATATCTAATCTTGCAACAACATAAAACTAACCTTGCACCAACATAAAACTAACCTTGCAACCTTGCAACATCAGACATAACTAACCTAGCAACATCGGACAACTAACCTAGAACCAATAGACAACTAACTTAGCAACTAAAAGCAACTAACTTGTAAAGACCTAATAACTAACCTTGAAACAGTGGAATAGTAACCTTGCAAATTTAGACAACTAACCCTGCAAAAACATAAAACTAACCTAGCAATAGACATATAACTAACCTTGCAGCAACAGATAATTAATATAGCAAACAACAGACTCTTGACATAGCAACATCAGATAAATAACCTTGCAACAACCTACATATATATAACCTTGCAACTGATTATATATAACCTTGCAACTGAATAGAAA